AAAATGAGGGAATCATCTTCAAAGGAACCGAAATATCAAAGATCAAAAATGAGATCTGTTGTTTTATCCATAAAAAGTATGAATGTTTTATTCACATTCGTGTGTTTTGTTTGGATAGAAAATGAACTGGTTATTCATTTGATAATTCAACAGTCAGAGCGCTTATCACACCCAATCGAAATTAATTTTTATTTTGCGAAATGGCTTTCATCAATACACTATGCTGGATTACATGACATTGCATTGTGGTGATGCAAGATTCCAAGAAATTCTATCATGAACCTTCGAGGATAGCCATCATACCTTATTTCTGGAGAAAAACTCTTCAATAAACTCAAGAATTACATATTTGTTTAATTGTATAATTTACATTTAGTTGAATCACTTTTTCTCTATTCTACAATTTCCTTATCAAATATACCTCGTTGTTCTAATAATGCAATACACTTTGAGAATAGTCTGAGCAGCGACGTGATTGTTGAAATGTAAAATAAATAACGAGTCCTTTCTCACTCTGGACAACAGACACCCTTATGCCTATATTGGAAAACCTCAGGTATTTAAGCAATAAACGAATCCAGTTAGTTTTATTGGTTCGTAAATCCTAGGAAAGTCAAGTCGAATTAAAGCCATATTATTATATGCGTACAACTCGGGCACTTTGGTGGTATGTAATTCCATCTTATTTTGTTTATTAGAAGATGTACCACACAGTGAATAATAAATAATACTGTTTCCCTGTGTGATACATCTAATAAACAGACTAAGACTGAATCGAATTAAAGCCGCTCAAAAACTGTCCAGCCAAGTTTTCATCTCAGCGCATGCATGCATAATTACTTCACCGTCAATAATGAAATGTTGTGCATTTAATTTCCTGGACACTCTACGTTTGACATGCGGCTGTTGTCCTTTCATTTTAAAATGTGTCCTGTTAGTCTCAATTTTCTTCTGAGGAGGCTATTGTTGATGGACGTGTCCAGCCTGTTGTGAATGACTTTCGTGATGTAGTTGGTTCATGAACCATATAGTAGCAATGGTTTCACACTGGTTTTGAAACCTAGATCATATTGCATGTGCTTATTGCTAGTGATATTCAGCATGATTTCGGAATAATGTTCGTCCCTGTATCTTGTTTACCGTTGCTGAATGGTTTCCACCTACTCGTTCATGCTGCCATATGTAGTTGAAAATGATGAAAATTGATGGCTTTTACCATTCGCATTTCGATAATATTCATTGTATTTATCAGTTTATCGGGTGTCGTCATTACCTCTGTCATCTTCATACTCACCTGAACTCCTGTCTTTACTCTCTAATCCGTTGACTTACTGGTTTACACATGTGCATTTTCGACTTTGCTTGACAGACGTAAATTATCCACGATGTCCGAAACTTTTAGGATTCTTTGTGAGTGTGACTTGGGTATGCCTCATCACCCTATAAGTCCTCTTTTCATGATGTAGTCTACCGGAATAATGAATATTGTTAGTGGAAGGGGGCGAAGGTATGCCTGATTCTCATATTCACTTGAATGGCTTCACTGACTTTTTCGTTGTAAAAATCAGTCGGCATGTAGTTTATCCTGAAACTGTTGAGTGAGGTCCGTGGAGGTGTGAAGCTGAATAATTCACGGTTGACACTTTCAAAGGTTGTTTCACAGCACTTGGAGTTGGGGTAGACAGTCGACTGCCAGTCTGAACTCTGTTTTTTGACGATATATTTACTTGGGGTTTGGTAGGCATATGATTTTCTCTTTCTGCATCAACCATGTTCCGGATGAAATTTCGCGCCCAGCGCATTTTTCACCTGTGAATGATCATGTCACTGAATACTCCGTTGGTATTGGAGAGGGGCTAGTCCATGCCAGTCCTTTCGAAGAGCAAGGTTATTCAATTTTATCAGTGCGACAATTTAACCCTCCTTGAAGTCAGTAAGTACCTTTATTCCACAGCTTTCTGCACTAGTAATATGTGAAAATTTGCTGACGCCTCAGGGTTTGTTTGCAGGGTTTCTGAGGAAACTTAGACCCTTCCCCTGTTTTTCAGCGACTTTCAACGTTTGTAAAGATTCATTGAATGATTGATGCAAAATTTCAGATTTGTCACTGTTTCCGGACTAGTGGAAGGTGTCGGTTGACTCATGCGTTCTTAAACATGATCCTCCCAACTTCTCCTTTGATAAATTGGTTTTATTAACTATCTTTCATTGATCTCATTTTTCCTGACCGCTTCCAGTACAGCCACTTAGTTATCTTATCCAGTGTTCTTAGGTCTGTCTTATCTTCAGCATATTCTACTCCATTTGACAGAGTGTCGTCAACTTGTCTTTTGTCTTTCGCAGCACTTTTCTTTATTACTTTATTCAATGTGTTTTGCATGGCACTTGACTCATTTTTTCTTAGTTATCCTTGCACTGGTTCATCTTCTGTCTGGAAATCTGAAGTTACTCTACTACTAGCTTCCTGACATCATTAGAGAGAAATTTTTGTATTTCTCCTTCTTGCCTCCTAAGATGACTGTATACGTTTCCTTTAACTTCTCTTTCATAGAGTTATGATCTTTATCCACAAATGTTTACGCACATTCTTCTGGCTATTTATATCTAAAACTCTTGAAATCTATGTATTGTCGATTCCATAAAAGCTTCCAGTGAGCTTATCTCTGGTGAATGTCATTTTTCAGATGTAGCTAGACAGTTTCAAGTAAGTGAAACTTCTCATCAATTTCATGTTCCAGACTGAAGTCAGTATTTTTATGTGGATTGCTAAGAGTAGGCTAGACGCAAGGCTTTATTTTTGTCATACTACAAATGTGTCAACCATAAATGGTTCTGTTGATTACAGTATTCTCTCAGGGTGAGACATGGAGGTGTCTGCTAATAGAGAGCTTGGTGGATTTCCCAAATCGCCACCGTCTATTTAACGGTAAAGTGTGCTGTCAAATTGAAATTATGTATCCGAGGAACACACTAGTAGTAGGTGTTTACAGAAAGAAGATCAGAATGCTGAAAAATAAAAACGGTAGCTGTATTAGGTGGGATTTATTTCTGAACATGGATGTTGCATCAGATGACACCATGAAGCTGTTAGAAATTTTCGTGTGTTTCAGGTTTTCGGTGAAATGAAATGTATATTCTACGGTGAGCGCAGTCACCCCTCTGCGAATTGTTTTCAAATCTTCTCTAAGTCTACTAGCAAACTTCTGTTGATGAGATTCTATAGGATAAAGTAAGGGACTCAGGGATACATGTTATTTCAAAGTGTTTGGTAGTCTATGGATAAGACGCTCAAGGTGCACAACATGGAATCCTTTAACATTTTCGAAGGGTAGAATTATTCAGTTCTCTTAAGGTTAACCAAAGCAATTACTGTGAAATACCTGAAACCTGAATGGTGTTCACAAAGAGGTAGTTGTCTATCCTTCCTCGTCCTAGCAACTTGATGTCTTTACTATCTCTTTAATTTAATTACCTGATCTTGGTTTGGATGTCTTCTCCTTTGCCGTAATGTCTTTTGGCTATTACTGGTTTAGATAATTTGAGTTACTCAATTAATCAGTTAACTACTTGTCGTCCTATCCACCACTTTTTGTCCTTATAACAGAACTCCCTTGATATTGTAACTTGGATATTTTGCTTTCTGTTAAAATTTGAAACTTCAGTGTATAAGGCATAAATGTGTAATTTCTGTGTACTCTCCATCAGTTTTCAAGTCTTTTTTAAGAAAACATCCTGTAACATTCATTGAATGTTAAAATCGTTCCGTACGTGAACTTATCCATCTCGTTAGGCTGCACCTGGCCGATGAAACGGTGACGATATAGGCGATTTCACCGTTTTGTTCCGCTTTATCATGAAATTGCAGTGGCGATTTTTTATCTGCACTAGTATGCCATTCAGTGATTGATTGGCCAACAGTCAGTGTCTAGTTCTATGTGGTGGATGTAACGTATCAGTCAAGGTGAAACACCATCTGTCGTAATACCTTTTGAACTAATTCTAATGGGTTGTAGGAGACTGAGAGAAATACCTGCACGTATTTCTCGTGCTTACTAGTTTCTCCCCAACTCCATCCACGCAACGAATGTCAGATCATTAGGTTGCTACTGATCATTGATATTTGACATTTGTGTTGAAATAAATGAGAATCAGGAACATATTACCGATTTTATTGAACTTTTAAAAGTAATAAGTACATTGAAATTTGTCATCAAATTATTTTGTTATAATTCCAAATATTTATCTGCATATGTGTCAAATGGATAACTCCCATCTTCCTCCTTTGTGCGATTTATTGAAACGATGAAGATGGCCACCTCCGTTGAAAACAGCAAATGCAGCCAGATAATTAATGATAATAATAATGGTAAAGCTTTATTTAAGACAGTATGCGAGTATACGGTACAAAA